TCAGATTAAAAATATTCTCTTACAGATATTGGTTTAAATGAATGAAGTATTTACTTGAATACACTGATGTACATTCCATTAAACAATACTAAATACTAGATCACCTACACATCAGTGAAGTTGAGGTTTTTTTCCATGCAAAAGGTTACATTTAGATGTTAACAAGCAATATGACTTTGTCAGCTTTCTAATTTAATGTATTGAAGGCAAAGATATTTAATACATAGTGAGAACTGCTACTATTTATCTCTCAATATTGTCTGTAAAAAACGTGGTAAAAGTTATTCTTTCAGTGAGACAACAGAGCAAGCTTCTACAGTTGCACTACGTTTTGATAACAGTTCAATATTATTTTGATAACATATATTTCAATGTTGATGAATTTCATACTGTTCATTCATAATCTGATTACAATTAAAACATAATTATATCAACAGCCCCTAAACACAAACACACCTCTTTCATAAATAACACACTTGTTCTGCAATAATGTTTTATGTTTCATGTAATTTTTGTTAGGGAAGGACATGCCTGAAAGACACGACATCTTCTCCTTCTCTGAGGGTCAAGAAGAACATCCAAGAGGAACATTAAAAGCTGATGTTATGAGATTTTAAGACCAGTATTCACTAAGAAACTACTTTTATTGTGAAAAAAAGATCTGCACACCGAATATTTTTGTAGTCTATCAGGACCATCATTTGTTTGTGATGCTGCCTGCACCTCAGAGAAGGGGTGGTTATAGTCAGGCTTATAAAGTGTGGCGAAAAACATAGTCAGCTGATGGGATGCATCTATTTCCACATCTACACTCCATCAGCTGATTATTTCTATTTGCCTCACTTTATGAGCTTCACATCACCTATGCCTTGTACCGCAGAGTTTGCAACATCACAAAGAAATGGGGCCAATCTTCAGTCAGATGTGAATGTGTAATCTAACATTTTTAGTAAGAATAATGGACAAAAGGAGTGCAAATACAAATACAATTTATTGAAATGTGAACCAAAAGTTAATCAAATGTTTTAAATAAAAAGCACATATGGACAGAAGGTGTAAACCTATTAAATGTATAAGTAAACACATTTAGTCAAATAAAGTGACAGACTAGGCCTGTGCAGTTGGTATCAGCTTTGCCCAGCATGGGCTCCTCCATCAGGCCTGGTCCTCCTCGCTGAGGAAAGACCCTCAGTCCTCTCCAAACCAACAGACAGGACGTCCATCACACGGAGGTTTCTCCCTGAAGTCTCTGCAGCTCTCTGGACACCACGCTGTCTCAATCCGTCCACACTGAATATGAGAGGGGGAAAATGAAAATAATAAATGCTTTAGACAATAAGAAATATAAAGTTGACTGTTGAGTTGCTCAGTTTTTTTAGATTGTCAATACTATTACTGTATAACTAATATCTCAGGTTAAGAAGCACCTTCAAATAAAGATTGGTGTTTAAATACATGTTGTCTTTGAATTGTTTGTCTAAAGTCAAGGATCTAGAACTGGTACTTAGTTTTAATGATACAGTCTGGTTATTATGCTGTTTGGAGCAGGCCTCACAGGTAAGAGCACTAACTAGCTACCATCACATGTACCTTAGCTTGACTTAAATGTATTAAACGTATAGTTCAGTGATGGCAAAATATAAATAACTAATGTCATGCAAACATATTAATATTTGCTTGATTCCAGAGTTGAATTTAGCACAATTGCATACAAACGTTAAGGGATTTTAAGATTCTGAAGTCTTCGTTCTAAATAGAAAATAGCATGGATAATTTACAAAGGCTTTAAAAACACAGCAGGAGCCCAAGACAATTATAAAACTTATTATTTCAGTACAGTTCAATTGGTTTTATTTTCATAAACGGTTATCAACCGTTAGTGCCAAAGCAGTAGGCTATAATATATTAATTACTGCTGTAGACTACAACCACTACTTGTTTAGCTAGCATAAACTCAACAAAGCTAGCGTTAGCTGGCTGACTGACGTTATTTTGCCGCTAAACTGCACGATATAAAACGGTGGTCTTCAAAGCGGATTTAATCCTCAATCACAATAATAATACTCAAAGTAATACTGGGCAAGTAATGGGCAACATTTACCGTTGATTGATGCGCCATGTCAGCGGACTGGTAGCGACACGAACCGTTAGCCCCGCAGTCATCCGGTTCGACGTGACTGACTGACTGTGGCTGTGACTGTGTGACTGACCCGAGCCTCGTTGTTCTGATAGCTCCGCCCCTTCGCTCCAACCCCCCTCCCTCCCCCCACATCTACAGGTGAAAATTACTTTTGCGACACATTTATCGCAAGAAGTGTAGCAAAAGTCAAGACCGCAGATTCGTCGATTTATACTGCCACAGAGCAGATTCGTCAAGTTGTAATGACTGATTTGAGAGGTTGTAATAAATAAAGTTGCAGTTGTAATGGAAATTATATTTAAAAAATATGTATTTTTCTGCAAGTGAACATTTCATCACTAAGTTCATTTTTTTTCTACAAGCTACAAAACTTTTTTTTTCTTCTGTGACTTCAAATTTGGTTCACAGTTACGTGGATATTTTATACAAGTGTACATTTGGTTCACAGTTACGTGGATATTTTATACAAGTGTAAATGTATGCACACAAGCTCAGATCTTTTTCTGCAAGTGCTCACATCAGGTTTTACACACTCTCGCATTTTGCACCATATCTACCTTCATATATAGGCTACAGTCTATGATGCTAGCGCAGTGACGATCACTAACGTTTGTTAGCATAATAAATAAATGATTGGCTTAGCCAACGTTAGCCGCGCACTGATTTTAGGCTATGTGGTTAGGTTAATTTATGTCAAAGGTGCGGAGATGAGTGTTTACAAATAGGTAAATTATCTTCTCCGCCTTTTTATAAAAGATATTTTAGTAACATTTGGTGGAAAACCGAGTAAGTTATTACTTTTTTTGTTTCTAGTGTAAAACTTGTCTGTAGCCTATATCCCGTTTTTGTTGATTAGCTAGTTCCTTTCAAGCTGTTTCATAGACACCACATTTTCTATTTTACAGATTTACTGATAAACATAATCATATTCCACTTTCCGTTACACCCTGACTTATGGCATTATTTAATTGATGGATGGGTGGACAGATTGATTGATTGATTGTTTGACTTTGGTGATTCCATTAGTCAAACCATTTGATAATCAGCATTGCTGGGAAACAGAAACCCTCTTTGGAAAAGTTCCCACAATACACCAATACACACAGTGCTTCTCAAAGTGTGGTCCGCGGACCACTGGTGGTCCGTGAGTATATTGGTAAAATTTCACATTTGAAATAAATACATTTATTTAAGTTTTTCGCACTCTCGCTGGAATATCTCCGCAATGGAACGAGCTTAAGTTTCACTTTCGATTGCATGATATAGCCCATATAAACACCTTCATCCCACATGTTGCTAATTGTTTGTACCATTTTCAGGCGATTTGTAAAAAATGATGTGTTTTTGGATATTTGTGGAGTTAGGTGGTCCGCGAGTGTTTTTTTATTGGTTAAGTGGTCCTTGGTATGAAAAAGTTTGAGAAACACTGCACTAAGCGAATGCAGGGCTGAGGATGCAGGGCTGAGGAATATATTTTTCATGTTCCCATCATGTGCCATATAAATCTGGGGATAGGACCTTGGGAACATAGGAATTACCCCACTTGAAACGGCATCTGACAGTGAGAAAAAGACATACAAGTATTTGTTTCACAGCAATTATTTCAGGGTGTATGAGAGGATAATTAATAATAGATAAGGCCATCATCTCCAGATCAATAGAGCTTTAAGAGCCTATCCCTTTCACAATGCATGCGGAGTGTTGATGTGGAGCCATAAAGCTCGGGTGATGCTCAGCTGTTGTCAGGATAGTGTTGTGTGTCCGGAATGATAAGCTTGCTTGGAAGCACCCGTAGTAGAGCGGAAAATTGGCTTATATTACACCATGCAGCATGGCCCTTCTCTGTTGTTTTCCTTAGCACTTCAATGAGCAGAGCTATATCATGTATCACTAAGGATATCAATAATGCACAGTTCACCCAGGTTATCTCCTTGCAGAAATAGACAGTTCTCGGTTTCGCATAGCTGCTGTACTGTATGTGTCTGTGGGCCTGACTGTAAACAGATGTAGTGTATCCAGGAATAAATAAGCTGCTTTATTAAAAATAGCTGTATTTACAGCCATGCTGTTGATATAGGTTAGATAGAATTACTACTATTATTTTAATTTTACAGTTAGTGACTGTAAAGTTACATTTAAAGAATAGCTCAGGAAGGCTGGTTTTCATACAGAGGTCATGATGAATCTGGGGATTTTAATAGAACTATCTGACATGAGTTATTTTCAATGTGTCAATGTACTGCTGCAACATTTAAGATGCTTTCAGTGTTATTTTGACACATAAGTGTTTCGATAACAGTACCCCATTACTGTAATTTGCTGATGATTATAGTTGTATGGCACGTTCCTAAATCGTAGTGACTCATTGCTTAATATAAAACCATTTTAGAAACTAAAAAGGCAAAGAATAAAAAGTACAACAAGCAACGACAGATAAAAGGAAGAAAATATATCTGAATAAGCAAATAATGGCCATCATCAACACATTGAGATATTGTTATGAAGATAATGCAAGTTATGTTGAAATGATTTGGTTGAGATATGTTAACATTACATTTTAACAAGGTTTTTATTTTGAGTTGTGTAGAAAATAAAACTCGATATAACGCTTTTAAGCCTGTATATATATGATGAACAATTCACACAGAGCTCTCCAGGTGGGGATGCCGTGCCGCAGTAAGTTGTTGAATGTCATGCACCCAAACCCTTACACAGGTAGATTTGCTGTTTACAAAACAGAACAAACTGGTCAGAGCAAGTATAGCAAGATCTGATGAAGGGGGCGGCAGATCCTGTTTGTATCCTGTGATTCCATGTCACTGTCAGCAGCCATTTTACTGTAGCTTCTACCTTCTTGCAGACATGCCTCGTCAATTCCCGAAGGTCACTCTGAGTGAGGCAGATGAGGTGAAACAAATGCTAGCAGAGCAAGTATATGCATCAGCGCTAAAGGAAGAAGACCACAAGGATGCCTTATCACTATTCACCATGCCTGAGGATTGCCCGATTGGCCTACAACAAGCCAAGGAGCATGAACTGCTCAAGGAGCTGGCCGAGCAACAGTCGGAGGAGAGCACTAAGAGGTAGGCCCTGCTGTTGAGTGACAGAGGATGTTGTTATTGGTCAGATTAATGTCACAAATGAAATCCTTTGAACAAATGTATCATGACTTGGGGAGACCCACAGTAGCTTATATTAACTATATCATTTACTTTGCAGAAGGCAAAGCTTGAAGATGATTCGTTCCCAGTCAATGTCCCTGCAGATCCCAGGGAATACAGATTTGACGCGGTCAGTGACAGTCACGCCATACATGACCCCAAGCTCCACCTGCTCATCGGTGCAAGAAAACAGCCCGGAATACCAGAGGGTCACTATAAGTGGGGACTACTGTGCTGGAGTAAGTACTTTAAAACATAAATGTGTGCATCTCTGTAAGACAAATGTATGATTTTGCGAACATTAGATAACACTTGAAATTGATTAATGTGTCATGTCCATTCCCCATGCAGATAACAGTGGAGGATTATGAACAGGCAGCCAAAAGTTTGTTTAAGGCTCTGCTTATTCGTGAGAAATACTCAAAGCTAGCCTATCACAAATTCTGCAGAACCACAGCCAAGTTCCTCCGCAGCACTGAGAACATCAAATGGAGCGAAGAAGACGACGTCCTACCAGGTTTGGAGTGTATAGCATTATTGTAAATAAAACGTTATTCTGTTTTATACAACAATAACAGAAACCGGTTGTTGCCTCCAGATATGTGCCAATGTCCAAAAGATGGGGAGGATCCGTACAGCATGGAGAACATCCCGGAGAATCTGAACTATGAGCTGAAGATGAAGAATGGGATAGTCAACGTGTATGACGATGCCGAGGCTCTGAGAGAAAACCATCCCCATGACTTACCCTACCCAGACTTAGAGACGTTTGCCATAGACCTTGGTCAAGTGCTGGCAATGATTGCAGATGGACCCACGTAAGTTTCCTAAACAAAAAGACACTACAGCTATGCTGGTTGAATAAACAGCCCTGGTTGTAAAACTGGTTGCTGCCACTTATGTGAGCATTACTGAGTTACACTCATTCAACTGAAGCCCACTCTCATTTACAGAAAGACCTACTGTCACAGACGACTTAATTTCTTGGCCTCGAAGTTCTACCTCCATGAAATGCTCAATGAGATGGCTGAGCTAAAGGAACTCAAAAGTGTGCCTCATAGAGATTTCTACAATGTTAGGAAGGTTAGATTTCTATTCTTTGTAATCCAATATTGCTTCTTTTCAGTACATACTATCACCTTGTTGAAAAGAAAAAGGAGGTGAGAAAAGTGTGTTTGTAAACACTTAACTTAGACTCAAGTAGACTGAACATAGACATTGTTTTTTTCTCCCAGGTGGACACGCATATTCATGCAGCTGCCTGCATGTCTCAGAAACACCTGCTGACCTTCATCCAGGAAACATATAAGACTGATTCTGACCGTGTGGTGTTAGAAAAGGATGGACAAAAGTTGACCCTCAAGCAGGTTTTCCACTGTCTCAATAAGGACCCCTATGACCTTACTGTGGACTCTCTGGATGTACATGCTGTAAGAGAATCAGACATTTCCACAATGTTTTAGCATTTTTTTCTCATTTTGTTCTGTGTTTACTTTTAAATATGTTGAAATGGCTGGAATTTTTTTTTTAAACATTTTGTCAGAATGTTTTTATACACAATTTATGATGCTACTGCCAAAAACAGTATTTGTTGGTACTTTTTCGTGACTTAACATTTTGGGTTCACAATTATGCTGTGTAATTTCTAAACTTCACAGGGGAGACATACCTTCCACCGGTTTGATAAATTCAATTCAAAGTATAATCCAGTGGGAGCCAGTGAACTACGAGAAATCTTCCTGAAAACAGACAACTACATGAATGGAGAGTATTTTGCAAGCATCATAAAGGTATCATATATAGTACTCATATGTTTTAAATAACAACCTTTGCAAAGACTGTCTAGCACACTCTACTTATCACCTTTAACAGGAAGTGGCCCACGACCTGGAGGGGAGTAAGTACCAGCATGCAGAGCCACGTGTCTCCATCTACGGGCGCTCTCCAGAGGAGTGGGACAGTCTGTCCAAGTGGTTTATCAACCACAAAGTGTACTCTCCAAACATGAGGTGGATCATTCAAGTGCCCAGAATATAGTGAGTGCTACACCACAATTCAGCCTTATAATTAAAAAATATTTCCCTAAATTATAACACAATGTTTTCATTTGTTTCAGTGATATTTTTAAGGAGAAGAAGCTGGTACCTAATTTTTCCAAGATGCTGGAGAACATATTCCTTCCTCTATTTGAGGCCACTGTTAACCCACAGAAGCACAAACACCTCAATGTCTTCCTCCAATATGTAAGATGTTTTTCTTTTAAGGGTCAATCATACCAACATCTACTCAGCCAAAGATGTTTTGAGATTTTCTATAACATGAGAACATAACAGAATATAAAACGAGTTTCAATGAGGTAGCACTTTAAAAAAAACGTTTATTGTAGTGGCATAATCATTAAAACAAGCCATCATGTGTGGATCATTTGAACAATGTTACCAACATTAAGGATTTTTTATATTTCCTTCCTCTTTATGACTTATTCTCACTTATTTGGAGTGTCTGGATGTTCTTCTTGTTTAACCTTCTTGCCAATATTTGATGTAACAAATGATTATGAGTATATTCATAGTTAAGAATGATCAGATATAGAGACAAATAACTAATATGTGTGACATAATTAAACAATATGCATGGATCAGACTTTATAAAACCATCCCAGTACCAAATGCATGTACTATTTCCTGTGCAGGTGTCAGGCTTTGACAGTGTAGACGATGAGTCCAAACACAGCGATCACATGTTCTCCTTCAGGAGCCCAAAGCCTGAAGATTGGACCACAGATGACAACCCCCCCTACAGCTACTACATCTTCCACATGTACGCAAACATCATGGTTCTCAACAACCTCAGAAAGTAAGCACTAAGGTCTTTTTCTTCAACATAACACATATTTCGTCAATAAAGGAGATTCCATTGCTGGGAGACTGATGGAGAAAATCCTACTGAGAAGAAATAATGAATAAATCAAAGGAAAATACTGAACAAATAAAAACTCATAGCTGATGAGAGCAAAGGTGGACAAGGTACATGTTCAAAAGTGTCTTTGAGTTTCTAGAAAAGCGCTCTATAAATAAAATGCATTATTATTATTATTATTATCATTGTACACATTGAATTGATTAGCATTAAAATATACTTTTAATAAGTTCTCCGTACAATATTTGTACCTGGATTTTAGTGGTGTAATGTAAAGTACTGTACCTAAGTAAATGTATTAATTGGTGTTCACCAGTGGATAACAGTAACTTGTACATCACAATATGCATTACAGCTGATATCTATAAATATTCAGAATGATGAATAATGAGCATTATAAGACACTGCTCTATAATTCGCTCTTATATTGATCGTCCATTGTGTCCTCTACAGAGAGCGAGGACTGAGCACCTTCCAGTTCCGCCCCCACTGCGGAGAAGCTGGATCGATCACTCACCTGGTCTCTGCCTTCCTCACGTCAGACAACATCTCACATGGACTCAACTTGAAGAAGGTACTTCAGATTTGTTGAAAGGAAATTCAGGATGCTTTCTGAAGAATATATAAAAATTCAAGAATAATCCTTCTCAGTGCAAAGAGGGGATAACAAGGGGCTGCTGCTGTGTGAGATCAGCTCTGCAAAGATCAATAATGAGACGGGCCTCTATGCTTTGGTCCCTGTTCAAAATACATTACAGTAGACCAAAATAGCACAGACGCTGTAGTGTTTCATTCGATTACTCTTATCTCTAGACCAAAAGGCAACGTAATCAATACTGAAATCAACCTCAATCTTGTCACTGTTTGTTAGTCTGGGACCACATTTTTTCAGTTTGTGTTTCATAACAGAACAACTGAGAATCTGAGAACTGTAGGAGAGAAAGATATAAGTACGTTTTAATTTCTGGTTGATGGACAGTATGTTCCTGAAAAAAGGGTGGGATCAACTCCGCTGATTGATTAAAAGGTTGAAAATCTGAACATTTTTGCTTTAAGTCTCTTATTTGTATTTGTCTAGAACAAGCAACGTTGCCTTCATGTTACCTGTCTCATGTTGTATGGATGCCTGCCACTCTATGTATTTGTCTTTTGTATTTATTTATCTATTGTTTAAACTGAATGTTCCCTCAGAGCCCGGTGCTGCAGTACCTGTACTACCTGGCCCAGGTGCCAATTGCAATGTCTCCACTCAGCAACAACAGCCTGTTCCTGGAATACTCCAAAAATCCTCTCCGAGAGTTTCTGCACAAAGGCCTGTGTGTGTCTCTGTCCACAGATGACCCCATGCAGTTCCACTACACGAAGGTAAAGAGAAACTGATACACTGGAAATACAATGTTTATAGATCAGTATTTCTATAGTTCTGCATTGTTATGCATTGTCTGGGTGTCTTGTTTTAGGAACCACTGATGGAAGAGTACGCTATTGCAGCTCAGCTCTGGAAACTCAGCACCTGTGATGTATGTGAGATAGCCAGAAACAGTGTGCTGCAAAGTGGACTGTCTCACCAGGTAAGGACACTTCCACTCTCATAATTTGTTCTGCGTTATCACATTTTCTTCTACATTGATCCCATTTGTATCCCACTAATTGATCTTGTTTGTTTGCAGGATAAGTGCCACTTCTTAGGAGTGAACTATCTGAAAGACGGACCTGAAGGGAACGATATCCGCAGGAGCAACGTCGCGCAGATCCGCATGGCCTACAGACACGATACGCTATGCAATGAACTCAGCTTCATAGCGGATGCAGTGAAGTCTGATGCTATGAACTCCCAGTATGATTAAAACGGACCTCACATTAGACAGAATCCAAGCATGCTGAGTTCTCAGTAATCACATTTAACTTCATTTTGAAAAGGGCCAAAGGGTACCTGTGATGATAAAATGAAACTATAATATCCTTACAATTTAGCAACAATTCTTAGCCTGTGACAAGTTGATTAGCAGCATGCTTTGGATGACTCATGGCACTTTGGTCCTCAAAGGTTTAGACAAAACCGTTTGAGGGCCAAGCCCACTATGTATACGCAATTGTAACTTGCACTTTATTTTATGAAGGGGGTTATGTCATAGAAACGTACAGTTGACATTTATTTTAAGTTACTGTATACACTGTACATCAGACACGAGAACACTTAAGGTTGAGAGAGCATTACTCAAAGCTTGGGGAGACTCTGGGGAGATAACAGATGATGTCTGGTACATTTCCTCTGTCTCACTTAAATAGCCTGTCTTAAAATGATTTGGAAAGATATCAATATTTGTTTTTTGGGAGATTTCCAAAGAGACAAGTCCCTTTTAATGCTTGAAGTTGTTGTTGAAATGCTGCATTAACACATGTGTTTGTTATATAAAGCACTATACTAAAATGAATAACAAGTATTCAGTCTTCACAATGATTGCATAGCACACATTGCCATCTAGTGGCTGAACTGCACCATTTAATAACATCAGAGGGCTGAAAAAGCACACACATACATAACATTTACAAAATAAAACACCCTCAAAGGCCACTCTTTCACAGAACTTAAAAAAACAAAACAAGGGGACAATCGTTGTTCTAAAAAAGATTATTACATGGTAGAGGTCCATTGATGGCTTCTTAAAGATATCTCATCAGAAATGTTTAACTTGCATTTTCTTCCACTTCTATTCTCTCATCTTCCATTCTCTCATCTTCCTGAGCAGCCTCCTCGGTTTTCTCGGTTTTCTCCTCAGACGTCCACTCCACCGTCTGGATGTACTCTTCTGCCTGCTTAATGTCTGTGCTCACTGCTCGACTTCTTCTCCTTTTCACAGAGAGAAAGAAACAAATCATACAATGCACTTGATTTAATATGATCTACCCAAAATGTTATACGACAGAAGGATGCTTTGTCTTATCAGTTTATCCCATGCTTTTAAGTGATGATATACAATGTAGCTTCTTTGAGTAATGCTATTGTATATAGAGCTCACTAAAGACAAATTCAACCCAGATAGCATCATCAAAACACCAAAAATCTCTCTTTAAGCCTAAGTTTTATAAAGAGTTTGCTCATAGGAAAACTACTCACAGTTTTATGAATGCAAAGATGATTATTGCGATAAGGAAAAGTCCACAAGTTGAGGTGATGAGTATTGCCTTTGCTGGAACGATAAAACATAAAAGGGAAAATATATAAGTAATTCATAACAACCACAATCACATTTAGAATAGAATAATGTATTGTCATTATACAGGTATAGTAGAGCTACTCCTTTTTTTAAGGTGCCATCAAAAAACAAACAAGAGACGTACAACAGTCAGGAGAAGACAACATACAAAATAAAAAAGTATAGTATGAACTCAATACGTCAAAAAGTCAACAGTATTAATTCCCTTGTGAACAAAATGCTCGTACCTCCAGTAGAGCTTTGTGAGCCGCCCACAAACGGGGCTGGTTCTGCCCTGTAATCTATGGTAGGGGTTGAGGAGGAAGACGTAGAGTGCGAGGTCGGGCTTAGGCTTGCTGCTCTCGAAGAAGACTGAGTTTGCCCCGAGAAATCCGTCCTGTCCGAAGGGCTATCAGTGGTTGCATCCTTCAATTGTGTAGTAGCTTCTGTGCATGTACACGAAGACCATGAGAGATACGATAAGAGTTAGTGCATGTCATTTGATAAATGTATGTTGACTAGAAATTCCTTCTGCCTCCCTTATGGAACTAGGTACTGATAGCGATGTCCTTGGAGACAGGGGTCTTGTCTTGTTTAGTCTATGAACAATTGTGAAGGGTTAAACAATCCTATACTGTTTTATGATATCTAATCCAACAATTAATTATCATGAATTGTGGAGCAAAGTATTTTTCTATTCAGAATCAGAATGCCCTTATTCGTCCCACAGAGAATACATAAGTAAAGAGACGGGTATTAAACAAGTTTTGTAAGATGATAAAAAAGAATGCAGATTAACCCTGAATAGAATAGAATAGAATCCTTTATTGTCACAGGTACAATGAGATGTTACAGGATTTGCATTTTGAAAAGTATTTTTTTTAACTTTTATTTTTTTATTATATTTTGTATTATATCATAACTTAGTATTTTGTTTTCAACATATGTAACATTAAGCTGTCTGTGGCTCTTTCCTGCTGTAACGATGCAAATGTCCCCTCTGTGGGACTAATAAAGGTATTCTGATTTTGATTCTGATGAGTAGGGCTACTCCTTTTTTTAAGGTGCCATCAAAAATACAAAAAACAAACAAGAGACGTACAACATTCAGGAGAAGACAACATACAAACAACAAGCTTTCATACTTCAAAATGCAGATAAAGTTGAATACAGTCCAAATGTAAATTGTGTCCCTATGCAAAGGACCTTTCATCGACACTAATGGAAGTGAATACCTTCTGATGTATGATTTTTTGAAGGACAGGATGATTGATATCTTCAATTAACAATTGTCTCTTACTATTAGGCGTAAAGCACTGTGAAATGTTTAATGAAAACATTAAAATATGTCCTACCTGATTCATTGAAACAAAACACATCCAACTTCTTTGTAACATTGACTCGCCATGTCACCAAGCCCGTCTTGTTTTGTCCACAATTAGGAATGGCCTTGACGCGGGGAACGACTGCTAAATGTTCATCAATCCATCCATATCTGAGAAAAAACATAAACAGAACATCAGGCAATTTTCATTAAACTCCACTTATATGACTAAAGTGATCACTCTTCTCTGGTCTCACCTGCATGTTTCGAGACCTCGAGTGAGAGCTTTCTGCACTTGTGCCTTTGAGGCGATGTTCACTCCGAAGGACAAGCAGAGGCTCCGAGCATCAGAGGCATTGTAGGAGTACTGAGGCTGGTTCAGGTAATTTAAGTCACTAACCTGAAATACTCCAGCAACACTTTGATCTTTCCCTGGAAAAACTGGAAACAAATGACTTGAAGTTATTAAAAAACGAGATCAGATTTGACAAATTAGTAAATAGTGCTTGAAAAACGTACCTCTGATGTGGCTTGAGTCAATGTTTTGATCAGAGATGACTGAAGTAAATGACAACACTAATGTGAAGCAGAGCCAGATCATATTTATGACCGGTCAGAGTTGAGTTGAATGAATGGAGCGGGATGACAAGTGATGCACGGTTTATGCGCCTCTGAGCCAAATGACAGGGTTAAATAGGGCTAATTTTGTCCACTGGGGTGTGTGGACTCTCCCTTTGCCAGATAGTAGAGGAAAAGGAAGAGGGAAGTGCCTCTCATGGGTCACATCAAGAGCCATCATATATTCTAGGAGCAGGGCCCAGGAGACAGAGAGATTAAACTAATATGTTAACATGAGATAAAGCCACAGAAATGCAGTGAATTCATGTTCAAGGAGTAATTCATTAATGATCTAAACAGGGTTGCTATTTGCCATAACGTTTTTCAGTGAAAGAGAAAGTGTTACATTTTTTGTATGATTTAAGTGACAATACAGCTTGTCCTCAGTCATTTGAAATGTTTCTGACATCAAGGGCGCCGGAAGCGGGGGGGCCAGGGGGCCATTGGCCCCCCACTTTTCAGCCCTGCCCCACATTTTCGCAGCAACAGATTTTTTTTTCCTTTTTTTTTCTTCTTTTCAGTCTTTATTTCGAACAGATTCAAAAATAACAAATAAAAAATAACAAATGTGAAAAACAGAATACCGTATTGTTATAATACAGTATTTATCCACATTCATGGTAATATTTGTATATTCAACAAAAAAAACAAAAAAAGTCTTCATATTAATAATAATAATAATAAATCATATGTATCCGAAAGGGAGTAGGAGGAAGCAAATGCTTATTAATTCCCACCCCTTACTTGATCAATGATTGTCCTTTAAATCATTATGCAAGTTATTCCTACTTAGATTTACATTTATACATATACAATAATTTCTCGTCTTCAATCACCTTTCTTCATTCTCATATTTTTCCAAAAAAGTGTTTCTGTACATCCTTTTAAACTGAATTATGCTTGTGCTTTGTTTTAACTCCTGCTTCAAACCATTCCATAAAATCACCCCACAGATTGTTATACTCATACTTCTCAGAGTTGTTCTGACCTTGAGTTGTTTAAAATGTAGATTTCCTCTCAAATGATACCCACCCTCTCTGTCTATGTACAATGTTTTTAATTTCCTAGGAAGTAGATTATGTCTGGCTCTGTACATGATTTGTGCCGTTTTAAATTTAACCAGATCAATGAACTTCAATATGTGTGACTTCAAAAATAATACATTAGTGTGTTCAAGATATCCAACATTATTGATAACTCTTATAGCCCTTTTTTGTAATGTGCATAACGGCTGTAGGTTGGTTTTGTACGTGTTTCCCCAAATCTCCACACAGTAAATCAGATATGGCAATATTAGTGTGTTATATAGAGTATACAATGAGTTATAGTCCAGAATGTATCTGGCTTTTCCCAATATTGCGATAGTTTTAGCCAGTTTTGCTTTTACATGAGTGATATGAGGTTTCCAGCTGATTTTGTGGTCTAAAACCACACCAAGGAACTTAATTTCATATACTCTTTCTATGTGTATGTTATCTAGTATTAATTGTATCTGTGGATTTGTTTTATGTTTTCAACAAATTCAACAAATTGTTGTTTGTTGTGTATGACCATACCTATATAAGGTATATTTATACATTTTATTTTTCAAAATACCAAACAGATCATTTTTTAGCCATGCCTCGTTTCGCTCATTTTCGCTCTTTTCCAAGCCTGTCTTTGAAAATTCTGAGCAGCAGCTGACCACGCCCCCTGCAGAAGAGGGGGGCATGAGCCGGTGAGAGTCACGTTAACATGCTTGCTGTGATTACGAGTGTGGAATAAACATGTCATCTCAGAGCAATGCATGTGTTCAAGCGTATTATCAATTTGATCCAGAGACTGACCCTGAAGCAGCGGAGGTTTTGGTGGAGGTGGAAACATCTCGGTTGCAGCAGGACGTTTCTGAATGGTTAGTTGACAAGCTGTTGTTCCTATTTATTTTACTCTGTTACGATGCTTGCTACTTATTCCGTTCATATTTTGGCTAATTAGCAAGAATGCTATGTGTACAGTTTATAACTTAGAGCTTGTAACGCAAAAACAGCGATACATATATATATTTATAAAGGGAGACATTCATATTTTCAGCATATATACAATGGCCTCATTGCGTTTATTAATAGTTTACAGCCCTTTTCTTCCAACATCGTGCAACAACCGTTGGAAAGTTCAATAACTTAGGGTGATAAAAAGTATAACTCCAACAACACCTCAGTTGTCAGCAGTGTGTGTAGTTTCATGTGTTTTTAAAAGCTCAGTTATTGACTTCTTTCTACAGGTGTACATGTGCAAATTGCGCCACGATGCCTTCTGA